CCATCACTGGGACACTCACTGGTAAGAATTATTGATACAATCCCTTCAGTATCAACTACGCATGTGATACTTAGTTCCATATGGTACCTGCTATCCTGGTTATGATAGTTCTAGCTAAGACTGGATATCAAGTAGGAAGATGAAACAATTAGATTTCTAACAATGTCATCTAAATGCACATACATCTACGTTCTCGTCTGTCTTTTGATGTAAAAGTATATGTCCCTATATTGTATAAACAGCATTATTTATTTTCAATATCTCTTTAGATGCCGAATGCCATTGTGACACTGTGACTGCCTGTTCCACGTTCCCATCCACTCCCTGTAGCCGTAGCCAGGTCGGCAGTCCAGACAGATGTCAACAGGGATGGTTTGGTTCCTACTGCCAGAGACGTGAGTATTCGGGATTTGCATTTGTTTTTCTTTCATGGCAGTACTCTGCAGCACTCCGAGAATGTCACTGGCTTCATGTTACTAACATAATCAATTTCAAACTGCTCATCTTTGTTTAAAAGTGTTTGAATACGACTCAGTCCCATCATATCTATCATCACAGGATATATAAACATGATATAATTATTTATTATCACTATTACTGTATGTGACTTATCCAACTTGTCTCTATCAGAATGAGTCCATCTCAGAAAATTACATACTAACTTCGATCTGTGTTTTAGATTGAAAACACTTTGCAGAACGCAACTGAAAGAACACCGACAACGTTTTGAACAGTGGGTGCATACCTAAATTTAAATTGGAATGTACAATTGCCGAAAAATTAAGTTGTTCCGTGGGGGAAGTGTGACGTACTTAGAGATTATTACATTCCTTTGCGTGTCGTTTTAAGAGAGTGTAAGATATAAACATTTATCATACAATGGGTAGGTTTCACGTCAGGATAAAGCCAACGGATAAAAACGATATCCGTTTGGGTCATATGCGGATAGAGATGCAAATATCAAAGCATTCGTGACCAACTCGTGTTATTCCGGGACAAGCCGAATAGCGACTCGTGTCCCTCTCGTGGCAATTTTTGCGACCGGGTTCCGTCTTAGCGCAAACGGGCACACCTAAAAATATTGTCAATTCGTTGCCTTATGGTTCACATATATTTCCCCATGTATTATATATATTTCAGATGAAATTTAAAGCACATCGGGACGTGCGGAATTATACAGTATGATTGAACACATTTAACTGTGTCTCGGGTATATTTTTAGATGCAAGACATATGTAACATCAAAACAATATTTCTGAGGGTTTCTTTGACGAATTACTTGAAATCATACGCGCATTCTGATTGGTTTGTCGTATTTTCGCACATAACATTCATCGATAGGGTGACGAGTCTTCTTGCAGGTTACGGAAAGGGGCGAGTGGTGACGAATGATATCAAAGGTCAAGTAGGTCAGTGTTTATAAACAAACATGGCGTCGCCCTTGTCATTAGGCAATCGAGTCAGAATTAACCATCGGGAATCTGGATAAACTACAGAGATAATTGCTACTTGACATATGAAATCCATATTCCACGTTGGCTTCCAAAGGTTTCCATAGCTCAGTTTATGAAGTAAACTGAATGTTAATAAATAATGTACACGGCCATGCATTAACTGTTGTCAGACATGAACCTTCTGGCGCCATCCATTGTCTCATGTTATGGTGTTGTACATTGTTTCTTTTTCTTCAGAAAATGTTGCTTTAGGAAGAAGTGCCAACCAGAGCAGTACATACAGTGAAAACAGTTACCAGACAGGGAATACATCACACTATTTCGAGGCTAAATATGCTGTAGATGGCAGAGCAACAACAGACTTCTATAGTAAACCACTGACATGTACACAAACAAACGGGGGAGTCCAAACATGGACTGTGTACCTGAACACCTCCAACACAGACAAGATACAACGCATCAGGCTGTATCTACGTAATGGCTGTGAGTATTCGTAGCAAAATATATATTTTGTGTTTTTCTCAATGAGAAGAATACCAATAAAAGGTAGCACGTTTATCTACACATGACTAAATCCTTAACAAAACAAAATGTATCGTTGGTGTATGGTTCCTGTACTGCTATATAACAGGTGGTTACGGACTGTTGTCTGTATACATGTAGGTACGTTGTGGTCAAAAGCCATGGTTATCCTAATCTCAGGTAACATTTTTTATGTCTTTTTGGAATTGTGTTCGCGCAAGCTATAACTTGCTGTATCATTTCACGTGGCTAATCGATCTGGAGCTTCATCAAATAAAACACCCGACCTTCAAAAGATTTCACATTTTCACTTCAAATTCAGTATTTAACAGAAACCAAGGCATGAAGATATCTGTCGGTGGACAGCTGTGCTTCCAGTGGCCAACCTATCCGCCTGCTATAGCTGACGTGAGCTGTCAACAACCACTGACAGGAAACACACTCACAATACAGACAAGCGATTTTCTCACGCTCTGCGAAGTGCAGATATTTGGTAGGTTAACATACACCACTGATCGTGTGTTTTGGGTTTTCATTTTTTCTTTAACAATAATTCAGTTATATCACAGCATGACTAAGGCGTCGCAATACCCCGTGCAGAGTTGCGTCCTTGGGTGCGGCGCGTGACGATTCCGGGTTAGAATAGGTCTTCATGCTTGTAAGAGGCGACTAACGGGATCGGGTGGTGAGACTGACATGGTTGATGAATGTCATCGTATCCCAATTGCGCAGATCGATGCTCGGGATCTCAATCCCTGGATTGTCTGGTCCAGATTCGATTATTCACAGGCCGCCGTCATAAAGCTGGAATATTGCGGCTTTAAACAGCAAACACACAAACAAATCCTTTTGGTTCGCCAGAAGCCTTTGATCGTGGTATGGAATCCCGGCAAACCCCGATTATCTGTCTAGGTTTGTCCTAGCTCCTGTGTATCACCAAAGTGGTAAAAGTCAGAGACCTGCTTTCCTCCCACATACAGCTGATATAACTGGAATACTGTTTAAAGCGGCGTCAAACCCTACTTATTACTCACTCACTAAATGTGATTGAAAAGTCCAAACACCATTTCCTACGAACCAAACATTCAAACCCACGATCAACAACGGCACAGATATTTTGGTAAATGACATAAAAGACATACAAGTCTCCAAACAAGCTCTCGTAATGGAACTGTTACAGTATTGACAGGACAGGTAAACTTAATGGCACATTGTCTCCTTCATGTTTTGTTGGTTTTAAATAGTCGGCGGAGTTCACCCTTTTCCACAGTTGTGTGCATCATTAATAAAGTGAATATGATTTTAATAAGCCTCTGCCGTTGTCACTTATATTTCATGTTAGTTATATATATTCTTACATGTTCATATTCAGTTTGCAGTGATGGCTGGTTTGATGAGGACTGTGACAAACAGTGTCACTGTTCACAAAAAACAGAAGTGTGCGACAAGATCACTGGACAGTGTCTGAGTGGATGTGCTCCAGGATACATGGGAATCAATTGCCAATCAGGTACAGGTTCTGAACCTCACACAGCCAGATTTGCACAATCTTTTGTTTTTGAACATTACATACTGTCATGGAGGTCTATTATGAGCAACTTGTTTCGCTGTGAAATAAACAGGTGTCTGTGACCTAATGCAAAAGTACAAAAGTGAGGAACATTCATTGTGTAATACATTAACAACGCCGCTTTAACTTTGTGCTGACGCGGTCGTCATCTTTAATCTTCATGTACTCTTTAATCTTAAACGTGAGTACACTTCCTTCGTTTTTTTAATTGTGTGGTTTTATGCATATTCTCAGTCAGTTTCTCAATATAAGTTGGCTAATGATCACTTTCATAAAGATAGGGTTTTCACTGAATATGATCACGTTTTCTTACAACTCAAAGATAACACATTCCCAAGAGTCATAGTCTTCCGCAATCATAATTAAAGCACCTAAAACACGTTTTATGTCAGTCAGGAAAACCGGGTTTCTATTAATATGTACTTTTTTGCCGGCAATAGGAATTACTTTCATTGCATGGACAGTTACTATGGACTGCAGTCTTGAAATGTATCATTGTTTGATGTTATGTTTGTCTGAGTTACCTTTCTTTACCTATATTTACGTATATAAATATAAGCAGCAAAACGCTTTCCATATTCAAAAGAAATCCCTGCTGAAGGCAAAGTCGACTTACGATTCCGACGTTTACATGAGTATGTGTAGGGAATAGTGATGATACTAAGCGTTCGCAAAAAGGGACATATCCTGCCCCACCGATAGCACACGTCACAAACACATGCCAAGGCAAGTCAACTGTATACATGAAAACAAACACGGGAACATATAGTAAAAGTCAAAATAGGGAATGCATCAGACATTCTTTTGTCACTAATGCGTCAGATTTGGAAACGTCCTTCATATGTCTAACATAAAACTTTCTCATAAAAAGACTTCTTGAATATTGTAACTTTTGAGCAGGAGTCGAAAGACGCTCCTGAAAATTTGTTTGAAAGGGCATGCCTTAAAAGGTGTAAAATGTAAACACGATAGGACGTACCTACGGAATATTGTTCGGCATAACAGGAGAGTTGAAGTCCACCCTCTTGTTATAAGTCATACTGACGTCACATCAACGTCCCAGACCAACTCAACAAACGTAACAGGGCAATCGTAAATTTAGTTGTATGTGAACCATTTTGCCATCATGTTTTCACAGATATTCTTAATAATATATATACGGTTCTGATATGTACCTTGATGCGTCGGACACAAATATAGAAACATAATTGGTGCATGTAATTGGTTCGGGATTCGAACCCACACTGAAAGGTTCCTGGCGTGCTCAAGGGACGGAATTCTACACAGCGAATCGCGGCGCCTTAGACGACTGGGCCACCCGTGCCCCCAATGTTTAATAGCATTATCTTTTGGGTATGTACCTTCAAATTGAGAATGTGCATGTCAACAAAGAAAATGTATGGTATTATTATCTAATGATAAAGTTGACAAATTTATTGTTTTAACATCCACAGCGTGTCCAGACGGTTACTTTGGAGATTGCATCTCCAAGTGTGGAAGCTGCCGCAACGCTGTCCATTGTTACAAGGCTTCAGGCTTCTGTCCAGGAGGTTGTGCAGCAGGGTGGTTAACTGACACCTGTCTTCAACGTGAGTACACTTCTTTGCTGTGAGTGCAATTTTCAGCATATTCTAAGTGTATTTTTCTTTAAGTGAATTGGATAATGATCCCTTTCATATACTTATTTTTCCCAGTGACTATGATGAGGACAGAGTTGATTCTCCCAAACTCAGTTTTCAGCGCTTAGAAATAAATAAAACCTTTTCCACAATTAGTGATCGTGTGATGGTGTACCAGATCCTATCGGTCGCACCTGCAACAAACACATGCAAAGCCACTTCAATGTTTCAAAGACAAACAAAGATAGTTACGTATAATGCAATTCCTCCAGGAATCGTTACTCGCATAATTTTAGTCACTATATGGACATACCCTCAACATGTGCTTGTCTCTCATAAAATATTTTGAACGCTTTATTAAGGCATTTGATTCTTTAACCCTGATCAAACAACTTTCGAGCATATGATGCTCTTTGAAATCTTCGTATAAAGAGTATGCTCATTAGAACCTCAAAAGATCTGAAATGTACACACCAAAGGCTGAAGGTGCTTGAATATTGCAGGAAAATGGACTTCTTGTCATACAGTCTTGTGGAATTGTTTTATAACTTTTATAACCCTTTTTGTCAAGGGATTTATCCTTTGTTTTCTCACATACTTATTTAGTATAGCTTCAGCTGTGTCTGTCGAGATGGACTATAACTTACGGTAGTTTATGTCACCAAAGAGAAGTTAAATGTATGTGTGAATCTTCCCCAGGATACAAAGCTATGTGCTGCCAACAACAGAATACCTTCCATGTTTCTCATCGTCATGTAATTGTAATTATAATGTGTACAGCGTGTCCGGATGGATGGTATGGTATCAACTGTGCCTCCCAGTGTGGAAACTGTCTCGATGGTCATACATGTAACAAGTCAACAGGAATATGCCCAAGAGGATGTGCTGCAGGTTGGATGAACGACACCTGTGTTCAACGTGAGTGTAGATTTTATACAGTGCAGTACGATACTTACGACTGTATGTGTCCTCTTAACCTAGGTTATTCCATCAAGTATATTTATGCCTTGAATGTTGATGTGATATAAATATGAGTTTCTGTGCTTCTAGATCAATAATAGCACACCATTGAACTAACAATGGTGTTTGTTTGTTAATTTCTACCTATTGGTCACCTACATGTAGTCTACCACCTGTGAATTCGATGTTATTGTGTTCGTAATTCCGTTTTTGTCACCATTGGAATAAAGAAGGTGAGACACACGTTCATGCAAATTATTTCAAATATCACTGACATCATGACCAAAACATTGATTTATGCACACAGCATGTCCAAGTGGTTCCTTTGGTCCGGACTGTGGCGTCCAGTGTGGCAACTGTCTGGATGGCGATGTTTGCATCAAGACAAATGGAACATGTCCTGGAGGATGTGCAGCAGGCTGGATCACTGACAGGTGTAATCAAGGTAAGTCAGACCTGTGCATTATATGCGATGTAAACACATGAACATTTAAGTGAAAAAAAGTAAAATATGATTCTTATAACACAACGTTGTCAAGTCTTCCAAATCAGGTTTTTGACGGTCGGTTTAAGATGTACAGTTTCGTGATTGGCGACACCTCCGAGGTTTCATGTACAAAACTGTAGGTTCGTGCGAGTTAAGGTATATGAGTAAAGCTAGCATATGCCATATCTCAGGCGAGGTAACGTGCTTTTATAATTACATTTTCAGTTCAACTTGTTTATACTGACATGTCAAAGCTGGCAAAGATAACTGAAGTGGACATAAAATATACACCAAATATAACGAAATATGTAACTGTTAACTGTCCTGTTTGCGATCGTTTCGTGAGCCCGAAAGGTGAAACTTTTTCTTGATAGTTTACCCGGTTAATACACGTGAAAAGTAACCGTTGCAATGAATTCGAACACACAATGTCGCGGGAACGAGATGAGAAAAGTCTATGTATATGATGTTAGTTGTAGATTAGAATGTAATATTTATATCACTTGGTGTCTTATCTATTTGCATTTACTATTACATGTACGCTCACAGCTTCAAGTGTCTTTGCAGCATGTGCAGATGGTGTTTATGGTATTGACTGCACGTCCAAGTGTGGAAACTGTCTAAATGGTGATGCGTGTGACAAGTCAACAGGAACATGCCCTAGAGGATGTGGAGCAGGGTGGATGAATAACACGTGTCATAACAGTAAATCGTTGATTGGTTTTCAGTTCGGGTCTCATACAAAATATCCATACATTCAACACATGCAGAAGGTATCCATGTGCATATATTGTCACATTCATCTCTTGCTTCATTCACATTTATCACTTGCCAGGTATACATTTGCAGAAGTGATTGATCAAAAGATTAAATTGGTACTGTTTTGGAAAATCCATTTCAATACTGCATAATAAGTGGGTGGAAAAGGATATAAATATCCAACCAAAAAACACGGAAACAGGCATTGAAAAGAGGAGTATGAAATATGCTTCCGAAAGACAATTAATCATGTGAACTTAATCAGGTCTGAAATGTCATTCGTCATTGCGTGTCGGCGAAAGTGTTTGCGTGCGCATGCATATCCATGTGCATGTTTACTCAGTATTTCTGTTAGTTCTGCATTTCCATCACAAATTGTATCGTTTTCTAAATGTACTTCCTGATTGTCTGAATATCAGAAGTCATAATTACTCACGTAAAAATGGTTGGTCCTTTCAAGTTCAGTCTGTGCAAAATCATCAACTAGAACTTCCACGGGTATTGTTTATTAGAACAAATGTATATTACGTATCATCTGACACAAGAAGATGCAGGTAAATGTGACTTGGCAATGCCAAACTGGCTATTTCAGTGTGTGACGACGGGAGGTATAGCAATGGATGTGCGTCAGAATGTGGTCACTGCAAGAGTGGTACAGTATGAGACAAAAGGAACGGAACCTGCGGGAATGGATGTGATGGAGGATATTTAGGTCTTCGTTGCGCGCGTAAATATGTGCGTACATGTCTTAACATGAAAAGGAACATATTTTCTAAAATTAACAAGGAAAGAATTATTTAGACGAACACCCTAAATCACAGTGAACGAAAACAGCCACTTCTTAAATACCGTAAATCTTGAACTGCTGTACCCTTGCAAAAAATGCAACAATCTTAATGCGACCTTCCCCAAACCCCAGTGGAATTTTAGAGAGAGAAAATTGCTTCCATGAGGTCTCCCCGAGATGAATTTAATAACAGTCTGTGAGAATCTCTGGAGATGACTCTTACAAAAGAATCAAATCCTTAGAAGTATGAATAATTAAAGAATGTTGGCCTTGGCCTGTATTCACTCAGAGACACCTTGGCCATGTAATCTAACGGAATGCAGTTATGGGTGAACTTTCGCTTACGTTAACACGATTTGTGTCCCTTTGACGTTTTATAGGAAGGTAAATCTTTGACTGAATATGATTTAGAGAATAATTTACGAGCTACGAGGAATTGCGGATAATACATGTATATGCCTAGTGAAATTAAATGTCCTTTTCACGCAACATGTATGTGCTCATCTCGTTCACATTCTATAATGTTTCGTCAGCTGTTCGAGAGACACGACCCTCGTAACAATTACACGTATCCACCCGCGTGTAAAAAGTCATCTCTCATACACAAAATACTTTATCACTTACGTTTTGACGAAGCCAATAAGCAAATAGTCCTCTAAATTATGTAGTCGCAAATAAATGGTTCTGTTTGATCGTACAACCAAGCAATAAAGAAAAACTCGGGGATGATCTATAATAACAAATACATCTCCTTTACTGTTATTGTACCTGTAACAAACTGACAAGAATCATCGACTGCTACCAAAAGAAATGCCATTCGATATAGATGTTGGACAGATTGCTTATGATGTGCGTCATATTACCTTTGTAGAATCTGACGTCTAAACTCCATCACCATCGAAGAATGACGAATACTCAACGATCATATAAGAGTTGTTTAAGATCAACTTTCGTCTGAAACAAATACACTCAGTTTTAAACTTGAATCGAGATAATTTCGTATGAGAAGTACCTAACTTATCACATTCACTGCAGACGTTATCTCATGCATTTCCACTGTTCGACACATGGTCTTACACCTCTGGCACACAATACATCACATGACTCTTATGCACTGGAACAAGATCAACATCGCAACACTACGATGCCAATAACGGTATTGGCCCATCCCCACAAAAATTGTGCAAAAAGCGACATTGTATGATATGACTATGTAATAACCATGTGGAACGTCCTCCCCGCTGAACCAATAGCCCATAGAATTTGAAAAGGGTATAACGAAGTTATATGATGGGGAATCTCGGACAGAAGAGGTCCTCAATATCCCATGCTTAACGCAGGAGCCTACATACGATTATTAGGTGTAGGAGTTGATCATGCTATCAGCCTGGTCCAGACACGATTGTTTACACACGTACCTTATTTAGCCTGAACATTAAAGTTATTTGCTTAATCTTAGATAGATATACTGATTTGCGTACGTGTGTCCAGAGAAAACTTTAAGATTTGTTCAACCTTGTGAAAAGAAATCCTTAATCTTCTTAAATGATTGATATAAGGGCGACACGAAAGATATTTCAATTTATGCAAACAATTACGATTAAAGAAGAGAAACAATCCAGTACATGTACAATGATCATGTTTTAAAGTATTTCGTTTTTATCTCTCGCCACTCAACAGGAAAATTATTAAATCTGCCTACATGTATATAGGAACCTGAACTAAATGGTTGACATGTACTTGACCATAGTAATGGACAATATGTGCCTGACATGATTTTATGTTGTCTCATGCTCACAAAATGTACACATTTGTACCTGTGTGACTCACGGCCTAATCAAAGCTTGTCCTCGCTAAGTGAGGTGAGGTGAAATTGGGTTTAACGTCGCGTCCAAGATTATTGCACTTATATAGCGACGTGCATGCACGTGTATGTGTGTGTGTGGCTGCTTGTACTAGTCCGGACTGATGCCGATT